TGGGTCGACTGCCACCATACATGCAAGCACTGAACACTACATAGATGGGCGTGAGATGTTGCAAAACCATTCTCCAAAATTTTGTCAGCCAGAAAATGGATCGCTCTGGCTGTTCCACCGACCATCTGATGTTGTTGAAGTGGCAGAACAAAATCAAGCGACAACAAACTTCGTACACTTTGTTTGCCAGCCGAACTCGTTCTGCATCGTCTCCTGTCAGCCATGGGAGACCTTCGGGGTATGCATCATTCCTCAAGGGTTGTGGCTGATATTCTCCATCGTTGAGGTCAATCTCGCGAGCCCGGGATGCAGTGCCACACGGAATGCCCCAATGCGCGTAAGCGCACAGTGGATTCGATAACCAACTCTTGGCTAGCGCTTCGCCATGTGGAGTTGTGAGGTCAACCTTGACGATGGGGCACTTGGATCGTGGTTTCACGACTCGATCTACTCCATAGCTGGAGGTCAAGCCAAGCGCTCGCAGCTGAGCCGTTAGGCCACCGGTGCCGGAGCAAAATTCGATGCAGAACGGCCTGGTCTCTTGCGCCTCGCCACCCTGCACATGAACTGTAGTGTGGTGGCTGCCAACATGTCCTTCTTGGTGAAACTCTTCTGATCCTCTGCTTTCGAAACTGCTTTGACAGACATCTGCAGCAGAAGATGAGATCTGTGCTCCTTGTTGATCTTCGTCAGCAGGAGAAACTGTGCATTGAATTCTCGGGACGACATCATGCTTGGGCTCGTCCCCAGCCCCCTTCTGTCACTTCTTTGGGCACGAGTAGTGGGGGTGGTTGCCAAAGCACCCTTTCGTGACAAACGTGCACGCCCTTTTCGCACGAGTCGCCACACCCATCGATGTTGTAGGCAAAGCACAATCGTTTGCCTTCTGGTGTGGCTGAGGCGCAATTCTTCAACTGGTAGGGCAACTTCCCGGATCCACCAGTCTTGCCGCCGCCCTTCTTCCATTGCGTCTGCTTTGCACTCTTCCACGAAGAACTCTTTTCAGTGGCCCAGTTCTTCCATGACGCAGTTTCTGTCTTCTGCGTTGCCGGTTTTGCAGGCTTTGAGTGCGTTTTCTCCTGGGCCGTGGGCAGCATGTAGTACACCACTGTGTGGTCCTTGGGAAGGTTGTCGATCAAGTCGTCCAAAGGCCGAGTCCCATCTGCATGGGGTTTGATGCCGTCGCGGCTCAACTCCTGAAGTCGAACAAATGCTTGACGGTCTGCCCTGAGCAGCTGTGTCAATGTGGGTGCCTTGAAGTTTGGAGGTGGAGCCTGGCGCATCAAGTTGAAGAGGTATTGGATCCACTTCTGGGAGATGTGGAAGTCAACCAAGCCCATTGCATCAGAGGCGAGGCTCCGGCGCGTCATGGCCTCCAACATGTCCAACTCGGTGCCAGTTGAGCACTGCTGCTCTGTGATGGAATCTTTGACTGTGATACCAGTGCCACTGGTGTCCAGCTTCAGCTCTTTGGGTGGCTTGGCTGAAGTGATCTCTTGCATCCTCGTGATGCACTTTGATGGTGCCAAGTACTTCAAGGTGTCAGCCTCCATCATTCCATTCAGCTGGTCGTAGACCTGGTAGGCCACTTCCATGTTCCCTTCCATCGACAATCCTCGGAGTCTCACACGTTGATTGGCGATGCGTGAGCTCCGCTCTGCTGGTGGCATTTTCCTCAAGGTCGGGTCTGCATTCGGATCGGCTTGAGATCTGGCCAAGGCCACTACGGCCGTTTGTGCTTCGAAGACCAACCTCCGCATTGTTGCAAGATCACCAACCGAAATGACACCACCAGGGTCACTTGCCGTCATCAGGTTGCGGACGTCCTGCTCGGTGACTGGCGTCCCAGGCTGACCACAACTAAAGGCCAACCGCCCCAACGTTGTGACTCCGGCATTCTTCAAAGCTTGAGTCCATCCAGCTTCCAGCCCCAAGTTCGCCGCTTGCTTTTCAAACGCTGCAGTGCTCTCCGTGAGGTTGGTTGCTGCTGCCATGATCAACGAGGGGTGTGCGAGCTTCAAGAAAACAAAATGTTGAATCCCATGACGATCATATGAAGCATACCTAGAACATCTTGTTGAAATCATGTCTACTTGCAATCGCAGAGCCCTCGAGGCGGGATCGTTGCTGAGCCCTCATGGCCACGATCGATAAAGAGGAAATAAACACAACTCAAGAGCCCTCATGGCGCGAATCGAACCGAAGGAGGCTCCTCAAGAGCATTCGCCCTCATGGCCCAAAATACGTCAAACAAAGAAAACACAACGACCTCAAGTCAAAAGAATCAAGACCTCACGTCGCCTAGACATGCATCTTGTTTGCCGTTCTACTGACCTCTTGTCGATGGTGGCGGCAAATCAGCAAATCGCGTCACTGATGCATGTTCACTCACCTCAGACACACTCTCTATATTTTGAGTCGCTCACTTCCGTAAAGCATGCTGGCTTCAGATACGCCGACGCTTGCTGGCGTTGACTACATCTATCACCGACTTGTTGTCAGCATCTTTGAAACACTTGCTGCATTTGGGCCAGCTAAAAATCGACCCCTCTGCCAAGACGGTGAAACCGCTGCCATGGAGTCCACATGACGTAACCGGCTGCAAATGGTTCTTCGGGTCAGGGTTCTGCGTGTGCAGCATGCGACTTCTTTTGTTTTGCATCAAAGGCCCTTTCACCTCGGGCTCCAAGCCGCTCTCAATGACGCTGGCCTTCTCTTTGTGCAGCTCCTCCTCATTGTCGGAACTTGCACTCGAATTTTCACTCTCACTGGCACTCTCCACGAAGCCTTCGACATCTTCGTCTTCGCCATCACGTCCACCTTCTTGTGCCTCTTCGCAGTGCTCTTCGACATTGCCAGATCGTTCAGGCTCTCCGAAGGGGTTGTTCGGGTCAAAGCCGGTGTCGGCAGAAACATCCTTCTCGCCCTCAAAAACCGATGGACTCCCAAAGTAATCTGCCTCATCGTCGTCAGGTACACGTGGCTCGAACAACGGTGCCTGTTTCCGCACCATCCGCCCAGAGCGTGTCCCGTCTGGCACGAAATTCCCGAGCTTGATGTTGTAGACCATGGCGCAAAGCTCTCGCATGGGCTGGCTCAACATGTCGCGACTGTAGCATGCTACACTATTCTCTTTCAGAGAATGATGCCCCAGCAGACCTCGTACTGGCTCGCTCAAGCCGTATCGTGCTGCCCAAACCAAAAGGGTGCTCTTCAGGGAATGTGTGGTTGTGGCGGCCTTGTCGCCATCTTTGTATCCCAGGTAAGCATTGATCATGTTCGTTCCCTCACTCGTCGACACGGGCCTTTTGGTGAAGCCACCGTCAACCGTAGGAGCTCTGCAGATTGGACCGTGAGGCGCTCCCAAGTCAAGCAGCCCAAGTTCTTCAAGAACGGCTTTCCACTTGAGGCCCCAGCTGCCGCTGCCGATGCCATTCACCGAGGCCACATACGGCATGTACATCGCTTTCCTTTCTGCAGTGGTCGAAGTTTTGTGGACCCTGGTTCTGGCTTCCACGAATCCGAAGGGGCCGTCACTGGTGTCTATCACGTCGAAGAAGAAGTGATGGATGTTGGCCATGTCGCTCCATCTCGAGCGAGAGTAGATAGCATAGAGGATGCACCCGATGAAGTACTTGTCATATTTGTTCCTGACTGTGTCCAGCATGACCTCGAGCCTCAGAACCTCGGCCGCTGTCAAGGGCCTAGCTTGCTCAGTCGGGTCCCTAGTCGCCAAAACTCTGCTCACCTTCCCGGTCAACATTGGGCCCAGCACAGCTTCGATGTTGAACTCTGCTCCAATGATGTACTTGAAAAACTTTAGAGCGTGGATGAGGTTCTTGCCAATGAACTTGCTGCGTTTCTCGTCCTCTTTGCCCTGCAGGTAGTCGAGAAGGTTCCGCTCCTTGATGGGCCACCACCGCAGGTCGCTCTTTTCGCACCACTTCACGAAGAGAATCAGGTCTCGGGCTCTCTTCAACACGGTGGAGGGTGACCGTACCCCGCACGCATCTCTGATACACAGCAAAGCGCCATCCCTGTCCATTGACTGCAGCTTCTCCTGGACGTAGCGACCAACTGACGATTCGAAGTTGCAGTCTTCCAGAACGATCAACCAACTTGCCAGAGCTTTAGTCCAGGTAAGATCTAACGTCGCCGCATAGTCTCTGTCGCACAGCGCTTTGATGTGCTTTGCATACAGCGGCATGTCTCCAGGCAAGGACGATGTGACACCTGTGACTTCAACTTTCAGCCTTGCATCGTCTGACGATCCAGGGGCAGCTCCAGCAGGATATGCAACTAAGTCTTCAAGCGTGGGCAAGTCGTCCGACTTTGCTTCTCCAAAGATCTCCTTGAAGATGCCCTGCTCCCATGGCAAGGCAGGCATGCCTGCGCCAATCGATGCCAAGCTCTGCCCAAAAATTGTCCTCTCATAGTTTGCGCGCTCCTTCTCAGTGAAGGCCGGAGCTTTGTCCAGCACCTGTTGTCCATCTGCCTGTTCATCGCCAGGCAAACTACCAACTTCCACGTTCACCTCCAAAGGAGCCTCCTCGGCTGCCAAGCTTGGTTCTTTTGGTTGCTGGCCATCACCAACTGAGTTGCCAGCCTCGCGATCCATTCCATGAGGTGCTTCTTCATCAACCACGGCAGGTATGGCTTCAAGCCACGCGGAGAGTACAGCTTCGTCCATGGCTCCCCCCCTGCCCAAAAGCAACACGCGCAAACTAAAAAAGGTCCCACCCACCTCTCCCTTGAACAGAGACTACGTGTCATGAACATATTCTGAATACAAGTTTCTAAGGAATGCAAGAAACATCTTCGAATTGAATCAAGTTTGTTTCACTCACCTGAAACAAATACGTTTCGATTAAATAAGTTCTTTGTCAACTTCGTCAACTGCATTCATAAATACCAATACCAGCGCATCTTTCAAATACAGCCTTAAACTGTAAAGATTTTCCTACCGTCAAAGCGGCTGATTGCTGACGGTAAGCCACTGCCTTCACAACATACATGGGAAACAGGCATTGATGAACATGTTTCGATGGCATTGCCGCAGCGTCGACGTCATCTTCGCATAACCGAGCGCCGCAAGACCCCATGCTGAGTGACACCCGCGGAATGTTTTGCTTGCTCCAACCAAACCTCCCGTGTGTGATCCATTTTTTGGGGGGTTGATTTGCACTCATCACTCGTCGAAGAATAATCCACCTGCATTTGTCCGAGCCGGAACCCATACATGACATGTTTGCTGAGAATTGAGACGGCAGCTGGCGACAGCTATGCGGGCGAGTCAACGATTCAGATTCACTGCGAAAAAAACTTAGCCACGCAAAAAACGAAAGTGCTGCAAATGGAAAAGTCAACCCTGACACAACCGTCGAAAAACGGTCGGCATAGGGCGAATTCTGCACACGTAACCCGAAAACGTCCTTTGTAGAAAATCACTCTTAAGCCCCTGAGCCTGCACCCCAGGATTCTGGTGACGTGATATATGGCAAGCCTTCAGAACAACAGCGGCCCGTTCAAGTGCCACGCCGTCATCTTACCTCGGCAGGGGCCAAATGTGGCATTGCGGCTTGGCTGTGCTGCGGGATCCTGCAAAGTGCGGGGTACAAGAAAGGGCGCGTTAACAAAATGAAAAGGCCAGCCAAATTGGAAATGGGAAAACGTTGGCGCGCGTGCCTGCATCCAACGCTTTGAAGGGGAAAGCGAAGCCCTGCCCTTAAGGTCAGGCCAGGAGGTCCGTTTCGTTAGCGCAAGTGTGTCCAGCCGTGTCCAATGATGAGGCGTGCTGCCCACGCCTCTGTTTAGCGCAGTATCGGACTTGGAAACCTTTGCCCTGGCCGCGGTTTCGAAATGGAGCTGCATCAAGAGTCTTTACATTCAGCACCCTAGAATCCAGGTTCCGCCTTTGAGCGTCCAGTCTGCACTCCATTGTCATCATATGTGCTGCATCTAAACAACTCGACAAGCACGTAGGAAACAAAACAACTGACAGGCCACGGACTGTGTCATGGTGACCAAGGCTGAACGACAAACTCTTCAAGATCGTGAAGAGACGGCCGCCGAGAAGCTGGACCACGCTGGGACAACTTCCACCAAGGCATTCGATGGGTGAAGACTTCAGCATTTTACAGCCTGAAGCGAGGCGAACGCATTTGGTCTTGGCCACAGTTTGTCATTTTGCGACAATGAGCCAATCCTGGCTGCAGGAGCAGGGATGATGGGCTGCAACCGAAGTACAAGCCTCAATGGCGGGCAGCCGTCTGGGTAGGCAAAGGCCATGCAGATCAAAATGTGGTCATAGTCAGACCAGACGGCCTTGTGATCATCAACTTGCTGGGGCAGTTCGTTGCTTTTGTTGATGTTTGCATCAGTTAATTCCAGGGTGGGGACACCGTTGTTCCAGGGTATCCTGTCGTTCTAGTGGCGTTGCAAAGGGCGACGTTCATTCTTCTGACTCTGAGCTTGAGCGACCGGTGCATGCACACGATTTGGCAAGAAAGTCGGCGCAGGCGGAAAGATGAATGCGGAAACATGCGGAATATGGTTGGCTAGTCTCATACGACTTCGGCGTGCGAAACTCGAGTTTCCAGATGCGGCAGGTGGCCACCCCATGCCATGGCTGAACCGGTTTGGGGGGAGTTGGTGAAGCTGGGTGCCGTGTGCGTTTTGGGATGGGACTTTCTAGTTGTGTCATGGAAGTGGCAAGATTGCACGTGGGACATGAATTCTTTCAAGTTGCAAGGAATGGTCGGTACCCATGCGGATTTGCCACTCTTGCCACCTTTGCTCGACTTGGGTGACCTTGTAGTATTCAATGTCGTCGATGAAGGAGATGCACCACTTGCCTTCTGCCGACTTGAAGGGTTTAGTGCATTGAGGACCATTGGCCCTGTGACCATGTTGTCCACACTTCCTGCATTGACTGCGAACTTTCATGGCCTTGCGCTCCTCCATGGTGACATGTCCATGTACTTCAAATTGACGACCACCTCAGACCTCTGCCGCATACTCCACGGCCCCATGGTCATATTCATCAAGTCCATCTTCAACCATGATCATGTAGTGGATCACACCCTCGTCCATGACATAGGCCTCATCCTCAACATCATGTTCATGACATAGGCCTTCACACTCATGGTACTCCTCATTGGGTGGGCATGGCATGATATGCACGGTGCCAAGAATACCGTCCCCTCCTATAACCCTTGCTGCTGGGGTAGGCTTTGTGGTTGAAGCGGTTGAAGTGTCCCTTGCCGCGGCGAGCCTCGACCTCATGGATGCGGCTGTGTTGATGGTCGTGGCTGATGAGCTGCTGCTGTGGCCTGTTGCACGGCATGTGGCAAATTTTTGTTGACTTGACAGTAGTGTCGAAGCTCACGACTAAGTTTCTGATGCCGAGTGAGTGCGGCATCAAGCCTGCAAAAGTTTGCCTGGTCGCGAAAAAGAGGTGCCCCCACTCCCCCGCAACAAGGGACTTGGAGGCATTTGAAGATCAAAATTGTTTGCAAATTGGAATGTCGGATAAAGATCCAGGGCCTGGGAAGAATGCTGGATTTGTCGGACTTTTCTTCACTTGCCACAAAAAGTCTAGTGATTGGTTGTGCACAACATTTTGTTCTTCTCCTCCTCCGCTAGTGGGCTCCATCCGCAACCGGGACCACAAAGACGACAAGGTCCGTTAGGGCGCTCCCCTCCACGCCAGCCCCCCACAAGTCCAAAGACTTGTCTCGATCTTCCTGTGGGCGCCCAGGGTATAGTCATAGTCAATGAAGGAACACCCAGCTGGGCCCACCCAAAAAAGGAGTCTTGTCAAAGCGCCTCAAGGAGCATAGTGACCATAATTCAGCCATCTGTCCACTTGTCCACTTTCTATTTCGGAGAGGTCCTCACATTCACGAGTAACATTGATGGTGTATTGGTAGCCGTGGGGAAATTCCACATTTCCACCAACCAAACAGCATCTCGTGCACAGGATAGATACGTTCAGGTGGTCCACCACTAACTTGCGACGACGCCTTTCACATCACATGCGACGACGCTGAACCCCGATCTTCTTTTAAGATCACTTGCGAATACAACAGCATCAGGGGTGAGGGGTGGCGTGGAAGGGTATGGGCCTAATGGAATGGTTAGCCAATGGCCACATCATCATCTTACATCCCTGCACAACCGACACACACATAATGTGGCCATTTCTCTGCCATCTGACACCGGCCAACGATGACAAGTTGACAGTTGTGTGTGAGTGTGGAGGGCCGCAAAAGCCTACGCACAAAGCATCGCCAGCATCATGGGTGTGGTGGTGTGGTGGTGGGGCGCGTGCTGCGGGCAAGTGAACGTCACAAGCGACGAGAAAATCGGCGTCACAAGCGTGGTTGTTTTGTCGTCGCAAGCGCGAGCCTGACCCGTCCAGGCCTGGGTGACGATAACATAATGTTTCGATCTGAGCAAAGATCCTGTTCACCAAGGTGGGAAATCCAATTTTCTTCCTGGAGTGTCTGCTGCGGAGAAGGCTGCAAACCCAATAAGCAGTATCCCTGGGTTTTTGCAGATTCCCGGACGCTTTTTGTCGTAGAACGGCATCAAAATCAGTCAAATTTTCAATTTCTATATAATATAAATATATCCAGTCTGTGTTTTCCAGTTTTTCTCGCGCCAAAGGGAACAGTGAGAAGCTGTTGATGGGCCGGCCAGCTTCCGGGCAAAAAGGAACCACATCCAAACCACGGGCCCCCTTTAGGGGGAGGTCGTAAAAAAAATGGCGGATGGCCATCGACGTTCATATTGGCCAGCATTAGGCCGGCTACCAAGCGCACAAGTGCTCGATGGGCGCAAAGGGCAGACCATCGGGACACCAGGGCGGCACGGACAGAGGAGCGGAGGAGACCGGGAACAGCCCCAGTTTTGGCTGGCGCGAGGAGGCGGGGGAAGGCAACTGCTGTATGTATGCAGCACTGTGCATATGCTGCCGGCTTCAACTAAACGAGTTTACTTTAGCCCAGCCCTTTCCTGACGGGGGACGTCAAAAAATATAAATTACATTTTCCTATGCGGAGGACCTGAATTAATTAGATTGTCTGATAATGGCCAATGACCACAAACATGCAATTTGTATTTTTGAGGCACGGTGGGTTGTTTACATTTCTTGACCACCCCTGAATTACCAGAAGTGGGCACCATCCTGGCTCTACGCACGCAAAGTGATGCCTGACAATTAGTCCACGCATCCAAACCCTCAGATTTTGGTGGGAACACTGCTTATGTGACAAAGGTTGTCCTCACAAAATGTAACGTGAATGTTTGCCACATCCCAAACACCGGAAAATTTACAAGAACGAATTACATTTTGGCACACTGAAAATCACACGCAGGTAGCGCCACGAAGCCCAAGCAGGAACAAGCACACAGGGGAACAACAAGCATTGATTATCCTTGATCTCCATATAACAAAAAATGAGGAAAAAAAACCATTGAACTATCCTTTGTTGTGTGGCATGTTGGTGATGCTCTGCTATGTTTGGTTTTCGTTTTGTCGCCTTTCTATGGGGTCCTGAGTGGGGACATGTATACTTCTTTTTGCTTGGCGGTTTGCTTCGGGTGTGTTTCCTTTTCTTCTTTGTTGTTGCTATTTCAGACCAACGGCTATTACTTACTCTAGCTAGCTAACGCAATAGGTAGGGAGTAGCTTCGCACTGCTCAAGTCTCCTCTGCAATGCAGTGCGCGCCGTTCAGCAGTGCACGCCGTGAGACAAAAAAACACGACGGTCACAGCAAGCATTCAACGACTCTGTGCCATGCCGTGAAACAAACAAATCATATGGCTACAGCAAGCGTAGTTAGGCGTAGTCCGAACACCATTGCCGTTGAAGTTGCTGCTTGTTAAATTCTGAGCTTGCCCGATCTGGGCAGTGAGCGCTTGGACAGTCGTTCGCCCTCCTGGTGTTTGGGCCCCGGCACCCATTTTGGGCAAGAAGGCCAATGATCTCGATGCGCCGGAATGGGCGACACAAATACTACAACAGGAGCATTCGGAAAGGGCGCGGTGGGCAAGTGAGATTCGCGGTGTAAGGGGTGGTGGTGCCCGCCCAGCGTGGGGGTTGGTCTTGGAGGCGATCATGGCCTGGTTG